GAGCGATATTGACACGTAATACTTCAATAAGCCTCAAATATCCATCACAAAGTATCCGTCCGGAACGATGATGATAGTAAGTGGAAGTACCACTAGCACTTGTACTGGTCACCATTTTACCGCCATTTTCAGCAAGCGATAATGTCGGTGATGATGATGATGCCGCGCAGTTAGCTTCAGGAACCACTGATGTTGATGATAATGTCGACGAGGATGACGGAAGCACTAATGGCGAAACTGGTGCTATCGAGGATGATGACAGTGTCGAGGTTGCAGAGGACGGGGCGAATGTCGACGCTCTGGCTACGGAATGTCCTCGCCCACTTAATTCACATTTGCTCATTACATAACAAGTACTACCTGCAAATTAATTAGTAAATAAGCAACTACCGATGATAAAATGAAACTCCAGAGAGACGACTCGAGTTTTACAGTTCTTTATTAAAGCATCGTTCCGCAATGTTATGAAGTGCAACAGGAAACTTACTGCATCAACACAGCAAATTATGTTCACTGGTTGCTTCTGACCACTGCTCCTAGCATACTAGAACAAAATACTTAGCATCCTTAATGAAGTTAAAAGCTAAAGTTCTTATATAATTAAGTAATTTATGTGAAGCAAAAGCAATTATTTGATATGGACAAACATGCTTATGAATTACAAAAACATCATGTTTTTTGAAGTCATAAATGCGTAACAGATTAATTGAGATATTCCAATTTTCATATCTGCAGATATAACTATGATATAATATCGGCTCGTAAACCGAGCAACCTGAATCCTGAGCAATAGTGGATAGCTTCAATCAAAGCTAGTAAGCAGGTATCAGTGGATTAAATTAATGATTTGGAAGAAGTCCATATACTTCACAGAATCGAACTTAGTTTTTACAAGTTTCTTATATTCTAGAGTTCCAAACGAAATCGGTATTCTCCTACCGATTCGATTAAATAAGAAATACGAAATGAAACCTACGAAAAGATATACAAGAACTGATATATGGAAAATTGGAAATGATACAAAGAAATTCAATAGAATCGATGGAAGAACAAAAAATAGCCAAAAAAGATCTATTTTTTCGAATTCTCAACGATCAAAAAAGGGAATTTCATTACACTTTCTCGACTGGAACATTAATGGAACACAGTGACGATACAAGAATAAAAATATGTTCGTTTGGTTGAAACTCATGCATGGCATTACATTGGTCAGCAGAAATTTGCATATAAAGAGTAAATTAAATTTCAAAGTGTAAATTCAATAAAACAACATCTAATCTCGATAAAATTAGAAAAAGTTTAATTCCTAACTTTCATGTGATTAATTTTCAAAGTTATTACTTCTTTACACCAATTTCGTTTTCGTGTAGGGGAAAAGACCTTTATTAAAATAGTAAAAATACAAAATGAAAGAAGAAGATAAAAAATCTTCGGTAAGAAGCAGGTGAAAGTGAAATTCACTGTGAACTCATTCAATTAATATTATTCCAGTGAAATAAAAAGTTGAAAATTTTATAAATGCATCAAATTCTTTACTTTTCAATAGAAAGTACAATAAGTATTCATTAGTTAATTGTTGGACTCAATTTATAAAAGAAATAGATAAATGAGTTAGCTGTTGAAAATAACAGGCTAGTTTAATAAATTTAGCTTTGATTTTTATTCCCTTTCCCTTATCGTTCGGTTATGGCTTCTATGGATTTATCATTACACCATGGCTACCAGAAAATTAGATATTTTAGATTTCGAGCTTTCAGGAGTTAATGATCGCTTCCAAGAATTTCTAAAGAACTGAGTTTTTTCGGTAATAGAATTGAATCTTAAATGCTGTGATATTCCATATAGAAGATTAAAATCCTAAGAAAAACTCTTAGAAGGTGAAAATCAGCCTAGACTTATAAAGAATTATTTCAAAACGTCACGTGAAACTGAAACAACAGATGAGAATAACTAAACAAGTGGAAAACAACAACACTTCATTTCAATAGCACAATTAAGGAAAACTAATTCAACAGTTGGTCATTCTTAGCATAGTTAAACAATGGTTTGGTTAAAGAGTTTGGCGAATTAATCTGTCAACTTGGTTAATTAATAGGTGAATTAGATTTTAGTTAATAATTCAGTTAATATGGGCTGGTTGTTCAGAGGTTAGAGCACTTCCATCAAAATGTTTTCTTATTTCTTTGAGCGAAAAGAAACCGGAAATTCGCGGGTTGCTGATATTATCGTAATGAAGGTTTGATGATGGCGATGATGATGTTGTCATTAAAGTTGGTCGATGGGTTTCCACTGGCTTTGGGTTGTTTTCGAGGAGTTGATTCACCTTGCTCGTTTGACGATGGCACCCATTCGTTGCTATAGAGGCTTGATTTGTTGTGGTGAATGAAAAGGTATCGATTCGACTACAATTTTAACCATTCCGAAAAGGTTATTGGCAATCGTTACGCGCTGTTTGTCTCACTCATCACTTCTTCATTGCTTTGTGATTTCTTCCTAAATCGCCGCTACTCCTACCGTAAAAGGCCTGGTACCTTTCCTTGATTGCCATCTAGAACACAATGGTAGGATGGTTGTTCTTCACAAATACAACATTCCAATACAATAAGATTGCTTTATTTAATGGAACAGGAAAAAAGTGATCTCTGCTTTGGGGAAAACCTGTTTGTATGGGTGGGCCCGAATTCCGATACTTATCGACCAGTAGGTTAGTACTGTATTCATGCAGTACAACACCGGTATTACAACATAAACTACCGATTACAGTAAATAACTATACTAATTGTCTTAAATTTGTGAATTATTCAAAATTAGTTTGTATAAGTGAAAAAATCAGCAATGAGAGAGAAGCGATGCAGGTTCTCTTTTATTTCTTCGGAATCTAGTCAGTATTGTTCCGTTATTCCTCAGACATATCCTGTATTCAGCGTTCTTCAAAACAGGTACCGACATAATTACGTATTTATTTGCAAATTGAAATATTTGTTTGTACATTAAATGTTCCACTTCTTTAATTAATAAGACGACTGGTGAATTTTGGAAGAGAAGGAAACGAATCATGTAAGAAAAGACAAGTAATTGAAGCGTCAATAGAACAGTCTTGCCGTGGGTAGAGATAAGGAAGCTGATAATGATCATAGCGACTTCAATGATGAAATCGTGGACAATGTTGATCATCGAGGAATGAAAATATTTGTCGCAATAATAATAACAGTGATGATTCAGGTTATGATGATGCTGATAATGATGACAGCTGATGAGAATGATAATGGCGATGGTCGCCAGGAATGCAGGTGGGAGAACAGTTTAATAACCACTAAAAATTTGTATGCAGAAAAATATACCTAAGAAAACTATGTATTAATGGAGATATCTATAAGTAAAGAAAAGGAATAGATAAGAATGAAGAATCTGTGCTTGTAAGTAGGTTTGACTGATGACTGCTTGAAATAATATACTGTCGTAGGGATTACCAGGAATAATTAGATTGTTCTTTTTATGTTGTGACGTAATTGCAGGATGGTATGCTGTGCAACGATTCTTCGGTAGATGATAAGAAATGTGGCATCATATCCATGTATCGATCGGTGACTATTACACTTCAACTCAGTTGAAAATGAACCTTAAAAGAACGAAGCAACAAATATCCGAGTGTCGGTTCATTACTAAAATAGTTAAAAAGAAATGAAACTTATTACAAATTGGTACATAGTGAAATATTGAAAAGAAAAGAATCTGAGATAATTCAAAGGAGAAGAACAAATACTAAGTTTAATTGGAATTCCCAGTACTGTGATAAACAACGCTGTTTACAAATCTGATTTCTGACTTCTTTGCTTCTAACATTGATTACTAGCGAATGAGAGGAAGAATGAATGTCCTAAAATAATCACATCGATTCCACTTGCATTTGACAAGTGATCACGTCACGACGTCACGCCCGTGAATCATAGTAAACATAGTAACGAAAGCGAAGATTTCATTTTAATGAATAGTAGGAGTAGCAGTAAGAGGAAAGGGTTAGCAGGGACGGTGCGGTTGTAGCTAGAGTGGGAGTGCATCACCTTCTGAAGCACTTAACAATTTATCACTCCCATTACTACATTCTCACTTCCTCTGTGCCATACACTTTCCTGGTACATTTCTAATTGCTTTTCTCCGAGGTATAATTAATAATCCGTTAAGGTGATTCCAGTAATTCATCTCGAGGTAAAAATTTTTTATTAAAGTTTGATTCTATTAGAAATTACTATAATGAAGGTATAAAATAAGCTGAAATACTTATTTTATAATTTCCAACACTACAACACTGACGTTGAGACCAAGTGCGTTTCTTTAACCCACTCCCAGATACAGTATTACTGTGGTGAAGCGAGAACTACTTTATAATAAAGTTAAGAATTACGCATCGCTGAAAGAAGAAAGTGAATAATGAATAGAAAACTTATAGAGGTGTACCTCGAAAAAATGCCGGTGATATTTTCTCCAGATACGTCAAATATTTTCTTTCTAGATTATCTCAATGAAAACACAAATTTAGGTTGGGAAGTATGAACTTAATCATTTGAAGCAAAATCTCCAGAAGGCTACACTTTGAAAGCGGTTATACGGGCACGGTTTTTATGCATTATTAGCAAAGGCAATCGATTCGAGAATGTCATTATAAGATTGTTATGAAAAACTAACAATAATAGAAGTTATGGGAAATTGTTCCATTCCGAAGTTATTTGTGTTATGCGGATGTGCACTTTCCGTTATGAAAGTGTGATTTTATTGGCATGCCACTTTAGAAAATCATGAACAACCAATAGCCAATATGCAGTGTTCTCCGGAAAAGTATCATGGATATATATGATCACGCTTATTACGTAGCCGGTGATATGAAGATTCCTGGATACAAATAATGCAATTATACTCATAAACATATCTAACAAATTGAATTTAGTGGGCGATGTACAAACTGTGGAAAGGTAAACATAAAATAGTGGATGGTAGATCTAGTTCTAATGGTAGGACTCGGAGAAAACTGGAACCGATAAGGGAGGAAGAGAGAGCATCTTAATATAATCAGTGTTGCGAAACTGCGGAACAGCAAACACCTGATTTGCTATTGGTACAGTTCTATCAATTGCGGTAAGGATGCTATGATGCGACATGCTTATGCCTCCTGGTGTTGCTACTGGTAGTGGAGAGAAATCGGAGACGGTAGCATGCAGTGCTGTTATCCGGAGTGCCTCGTGAACGATCCTGCAACTATGACTGCATGCAAAACAGGAAAAGGGAGAGCAGCCGTCGGCTGGTTGATTTGTTGGTGCAGGTTGAAACAGCATCAGTCAGACAGGAAGGAAGTGGGAGGAACCGTGGACACATGTTTGGATGAACAGGGGGCACTTCCGGTCGGTCCTTCGGCTCTTCTCTAATAGTTGTGCTGAAAAGTTTCGCGATGACGTTTAACACTGCTGCAGTGTGCAGTTCAACTGCGGTAGTCATACGCTCATTCTTTCTCTGAACAAAAGATTTAGAAGCATATCTACCACCTGCAGTGTGAGCATCTTAGCAATTCCATCAGCAGTATTGCGTGCGGAGGATTTCTTTTCTGTACGTTCCTAATGAAAACCTGCTGCTGTTATCGGTGAAAAAGTACACTGAAGATTATACTTCAGGAAATAAAGAGACTATCATTGGTGGCTGTTGGAAGAGAAACAAAATGTTAGTTGAAGTATGCTGAACATAGGTTGAAAAACGAATGTAGAGAACAATTTGATTGCAGATCTTTGGAATATCTTGTCTTGTCTCGAGATGTCAAAGGTCGTTTGAGAACTTGCATCCCTTGAAACTATTAGTGGCACTAATTGAATGATCATTGCTAAATGTAGCAATAGTTGAAAATTCTGCTATATTTACATGCATAAAGATTTCAACGATGGAAAACATTTTTCAGCTATAATAAGCTGACTGAGTTTAGGAAAAATAGGCCTTATCAGATTCTTCCATTCCATCTTATCTAATTCAAGATAAAGTGATAAATGTTGTTTAAGTAAAAGCTGAACAGTAATAAAAATGGCTTTTATGCCAAAACTTTATGGGAAAACTAATAATGTAAATGGCCAAGTTTGTATGACGAGGAGATCCAAAGCAAAAGTCCCAGCACTATTCGTAATTCACGGTTATCACATTGCTTGATACGTCTACATTACCTAGAAGTCTTCTTGAATTACTTAACTCTAATTTCTTTATGACGACGTTTCAATCTGAAACTTAGGAAATTAAGCAGTTAAAAAGTAAATATTGAAATAATTGAAATTATTATATCTCATTTACTTATTTTTTCGTGATTTGCACCCATCTCAGCATACTCTCATTTAAATGTTATGTATACACTTTGTTGCACTCTAACAAAAGATGCAGTAGAATCGAACAGTATGAAAAAGTATGAGAGTATGCTGCCAAGGGTAGAAGAAAAGTCGACGAGATTGGCGGAAATTTCAGTTCTTTCAAAAAACACCTCTGGCTTAATCTTATTCTACACAGGTAGGTAGGTATACATACATACATGATGCATATATACGTATGTATGCGCATGTAGTCAACTATATGTATGTATGTATGCCATCCCGTGTCGATAGTGATAATGAGGAGAAATGTATGGAATGTGCGGTAATAACAATTAATAAGAGCGGAAAGTGGAAATGAAAACACACACCTTACTTACGTAGATGCGTATATATATAAATACATGCAAGAAATGTCTATTCCTTAGCAAAGTTTTGAATATAAAAGAATCTTCAGGTGGGGTGACAATAATAAAAACTGTACACTTATAGTAGTTATAGAGGTAACACCGATGGAAAAGCAGAGTGGCTGATTAGTGTTAGAATAAATTATCGAAAAACTATCGAGAAGAATTCTTTTTAGTTTTCATTTAGTAAAATGAATTTGGTAAAGACAAGGAAGCGAGAAACTTGAATACTTAATTCACTTAATTAATCACTCCTTATGAATCACAGTTGTTTAGAGGTTGCATTCGTCCTATTTAATTTTTTCGCTTCTCTTCACGTCATTTCGTTATTATTTAATTTGTAATGAATTTAATTCATTAACTGAGGAAGCTTGGGTCATCTTACTTCTTCCCTTTTCCTGATCATTCTTCCAGTCCACTTCTACCTACTCGCTAATATTTTTAGCCGTTTTGCAGAGCAGTGTCCTGCATATTACAACGAGAAATAAATAGGTGAATGATTTGGATCAATATAAGGAAGTACAATGAGTATGAGAGTAATCAGATTAAAGGAATAAAGTAGAATTTCAGAGGAAAGTTCAAAAATAACTTGTAGTAACCGCTGACGAAAAAATCAAATCGAGAATGTGAACCAATCTACGGTTTTGGAGACACATCGTTCGTCATTCATATCCAGAATATTTGATACTACATTTTACAGCTTTTCCTTCCTAATGTTTTTTTCAACACTTTTTCCATTTCATTTTTCAACCTATAAACAATTTCAGTCGAGTTTAGGGTCAATAATCACTAGATTCAGTGCAAGGAGTAATCGATCATGAGAGTTCGATACTAAATGAAAGGTATCGTTTACATATGCGTTTAACGTGAAGATCGCATTACATGTTTATGACCAAAACAATGAATAAATGCATAGCAGTCTTTCAAACAAAGGATAACGAATACATTCTGTCATATTTGCCTAATTTTTAAATTTCGAGTCTCTTTCATTTCCTCAAACAAACAGAACTCGGTTTGGCGAATTCTTGGATTTAAAATTTAAATTTAGTTGTCATGCGCAAATGTTCTTATTGGTAAATTTTGAAAAGAGACAGGCATCTAATGCTTGTAGCCTTGTTAAGAACTCTGTTTTTCAGATTTACATACTTTCGGATTCCTATTGCTTTCCTTTACTGTATTCCATTGCTGCAGTAATTGTATGATTGTATAGAAATGGATTTTCATCAGTTAAAGATTAGCGAAAGAGTGATGTGATATCATTCTGCATAGGGTACAAGTAAACTGAGGCATGATATAAGACGGTAGAGATTAATGAACGATCACTGAATGTCGTACAAGCCTCAGATCAGTGCAGAGTTGTTGGAGTTAGAGGACTGTTAAGCCGAATGAAAAATTATTCTGATATGAAGTTAACTATTAGATTAGATGGCGTATATAATATCAAGTTCCGATTTTTAGGCGTAAACATGTATCAGTAATTTCTATTCTTTCTGAAACATGCACTGTTGTGTCAATTGTCAATATCCGTTCGTTATAACTATTGAATAGTGATAAAGTATCACCAAAAATGCTATATAATTGATCGGTTATATTTACTACAACTTTAGTTTCCATTAGAATTATCGATTATAATCAATGTAAAAATATTGTTAAATATTTGCTTCGAAATTTGTATCACCGAATTAATAACAGTAAATAAGCAGCGATGAAGAGCAGCCGCAAGATATATAAAAGCCATATTTCTTAAGAGATCTAATTAATTAAACAAATGTTTTAGTGAACAGATTTGGAAAGGTTAAGAAGATTTGTTTGATACTGCTAATGGATAGTGTGTCATAAAATACTTTGTGTTTGCAATTACCATTGCAGTTTTTCTTTTCTGAGTTCGAAATCGAATTTTGTATTAAGAAATATGAATAATTCCAATTCAAAATAGTCAAATTTCGGCTGGGATAACTTAAATTTAAAAAAGTTTTTTCACTTATTTGCAAGTCTCTTATATGAAAGTTTATCCAAGCAAATTGAAATATGGTCCAGTTGATTTATATCACAATTCATTTCAGATCATTGAGATAAAATAAATACTCTAACATCTTATTCTTTCATTCGGTCATTTTGATAAAATTTTTAATTATGGATTTAAAAAATTTTAATTATTTTCAGGTTTTGGTTTCGATTTTTTTATAAACAAAAAAAAAAGAAATCCGAAAATATTCCAAATTTTTAATGTGAGAAAAAACAAATGCCTTCAATTATAAAAATTTTGAATTGAGAATTTTTGAGTGCTTGAAGAAAATGTTTATCACTGTTAGTTTCTTTAAAGCCAAAATGTTAATCACGAAACAGGTGCAAAAGACATTCTTTTTAAAAAGCTGAAAGTTAAGTTTTTTAAAGAATTAATTTTCATCTGCGACTCTCACTGTCCATGTTTTATTCATTTCTCGGAAATGATTTGTTTTACCACCTGGCTTGAGAAAAAAAAAACTTTTATCAAAAAATATGTTTCGGGATGGAGTAAGAAACACCTGCAGTATTTGGATGAACAGATATTTCTTTAAATCACTTCTATCCAAGCATTTTGATTTGGTTACTTCACCGAAATATAATTTTTTCGAAATAGCTTTCACTAAAAGCCTAAGATATCAGATTGTTTGCTCGCATCAGATTTCAACTCTTCCTTTCTGATTTTCAATAATCCCAAGTAGATAGCGTAAATGTTTTTAATAGAAATTTAATTTCTGAATTCACATATAGTGAAACATGTTGTTCTCACAAATTTGTGTTACTAGCATCAACCATTGCAATCCGCAACTGAAAATCAGGATGTACCCTAATAATTGCTTTTTAAAAATCGAAATTTTCATACGAAGACTTCAAAAATTGTTTTGTAACTATTATTGCCGCCTTTAGGCAATAATAAAAAATCAAAATATAATAAAACTACAACTATTTTTCTAGCTTAACCAAGGTAGAAAAGGAAGTAAAAAAATTGTGGCAGGGGCAAGAGCTGATTAAAATTCAAACTTAAAGACAAGTCTTTTTTTAAGTTTTTGAATCTCATTTCTCTTTTCTTTTTTCTTTCCTCATTATTATTATCCTTAAAAATTTTATTCTTTCTGAATACAAATTTCTTTCTCTTCGTCCAGTTCTCTTTTTCTTTCGATTTCAGCATTTAAAAAGCTGTCCATTGTACAGTTCTGTAAATTGATAACATTCTGAATACAATAACTACTAAGAGGAATACAAAAAGTACATAATCTTTGATATTAATGCTACAATTAAACTTTTTCGTTATTCAGTATATATATATATATATATATATATATATATATATATATATATATATATATATATATTATAATGCAGCATCAAGAGAAAATTTCTAACATGTTCAACCAGTGGAATTCTATCTGATCAGTAGATAACACTTTTCTAACTGATCAAATTACTACTGGCCATCAAGACTTACATAAATTTACGATGAGAGATTTAACTGTGGAAGTCGTCAAATAATGGTGCTAATAAATCATTTTCCCTAATAACTTATACGATACGCTTTCCTAATGAAAGCGATTGATGAGTGGCAAATTTCGTACTTCTTGACGGGAATCAATAGATCGATTTGTGTTTATGACTCTTCAATATTTCATCAATAATATTTAAAAGTAATCTCTGAAAGTTTATAATTTTCTGGCTTGAATTGTGACATCTTGTTGTGCATAATCATCATAATCGCTGTCCGAGCAGTTTGCTAATTCAAAAATTATATTATCAAATTTTCTTCTCATTTCTGTGCGAATTTGTCAAATTTATTGAAGCTGCTTGATCAAAGTGGATACTGCCCTAATAAATACCAAATGCCTAAAAAACTAATTTTATTTTTCAAAATCGGCATTTTTTAAGGTACTTTCTTTAAACAGTTTCTACAAGGCATTAAATTTATGACAAGTAAAAATATATTTCCATAGGTTATGGATGCTATCAAAATCATTGCGCAATGCGGTATATCATATCAGTGAATAAAGCTGCTTTCTTTTACTTTTCAGATAAACTTTCTGTCATTTCTTTACATAGGGGTTGGAATTTGTTAGCTGAACAAAAACAGCTCGCATTACTGATGACCGCGACATCTGATCGTTGCTGTTGTGGGCTGCTTCATATTAAGGTTGTTGACAATATAAACCATCAATCAACATAATCTGTCAAAATGAAATCTTTTCAAAACGAAAAAATGACGTTAATAAAAATGAATAACGCTCACTTAATTTCAAATTTTCGAAATGTTTCTATGGTTACTACCAGAAGAATTTTTGTTCCTTTACCTGCACTTGCACACAAGATCATTTCAAGCCATTTTGTGGAAATATATATTTCACAATGTAACTTAATTCGCATTTCCATCTTTTGGCTAGAATACAATGTTTTTTTGTTTTTTGGGTAGAAAAAAAAGACAATGAAAAATACTTATAGAAAAGGAGTTCTCAAGGTTTCAACTTTAATTTTCACCTAGTTCTTTTCGGTAAATGTTTTAAAGTTTTGCCCCTTCTCATGCTTTAATAGTTTGTACTGAAATTTTAGCACGGTACAATTACGATTGGGGCTTGCTCATTACTGTCAACATTAATTAATGGCTTACTATTCTGGTTTGATATCAATCGGATGTCACATCATTTTTGTATCGAATTCTGTCTTGTTCTCATCGATGTATTTTCAGTTATATCACTTTTTTATGGAATATTGCATATGCGACCTAATTTCTTGAAACCTTACGTTTATTTCACTGTTAGCGACATTTTTTTTTAGACCTCTCAATTCTAAACACTTCATTTAGATTTGAAAAACGTTCAATTTGTAATCTTTCAAGTGTTTCAAATAAAATGCTTCAAGTTACTATTAAAACAATTATATAAACATTAGCAGAAAAAGTAGCAGAAATCTCACAAAAGTTTTAACCAAGCTGGGAAAATGTTTTTGCTTTTGTTTCTCAGCTAGGTTTAAGAATAAGCTACGTCGGGTAAGTGAACAGAGGAGATAAGCCATCATGACTCTAAAAAGTGAATTAGACATAACTCTACTTGTACAGAATGAAAGAGATGAAATCTCACGCTCCAGTCAGTACCTTAATCATCTGATAATACTTACTTTCAGTTAGCATGGTGCGTAGCATTAGTTCTTTTATTCATTCTTTCATTGGTAGAGCTAATAAATGGTGGTCAACTTTCAGTCAACATAGCCATTTCAGTAGCAGAAATTTTTAATTTGGCACAATTCGGCAATATACTTCGAAATTGTAAGTTGCTTTAGACCGCTTTCGATTTTAACACTTTGATCCGGGTAATTTATGAAGATTAATGTAGTACTAAACATTTGCCCCTAAAATTCCTCGAATTTTGAAGTCAACAATGTCGCCATTCGGTCACTATAGAGTATAGTTTTGAATCTTTCTGGGCACATTTGTTTCATCATTTCTGTTAAAACATTTTAGCAAGTGAACTACTTACAATTTTCTCATTAATCGGCTTGTTGTTATCAATTGCATTGAATATTTGGTTCTTATGTGTGATATTCGAGTACTATCAGTGGCTAACAATTCAGACAACGAAACTTCATTTCAACAACCATAGCTTGGCACCACGATTATAATCCCAAATTTATTCATTTTTTCCAATGCGCTAAATCGATCACAGTTTATTATGCTATATTATATAGTTTATTGTACATCATAATTGAAAGCGAAAGCGAAAAAGCATTCGTAAATTATCAGTAAATCGTAATTATCCATTTTTAATCGTGAACTCATACACTTGCAATAAGATAAATAATAAAAATTGAAGTTCACTGCTTACTTATAATAATTTGGACATGTTCTGCGACTACATGTAAAAATTTTGCTGCTTATTTGCAATTTTCCAAATGCTAGAAGGGTACAATCAAATTTTCAATGAAAGCAACTTATATAGTATTAATGCTGATGTTTTGTCGATTATTGATGAGTAAATTTTATTTTCCTACTTCTGATAACTGATTCTTTTCGATATCATTTTTGCTGATTTGCACAATTTTGCTGATAAGAACGTTTATTCACAGTGCGGTTTTTGTGTATTTATTCCTTATTCATGAGAAGACTAACATGTGAACGTCAACACCGATTGAGCTCTTTTAGCTATTATCTAAAATATTTATGATAACGGGAAGAATTGCATTATTTGAGAGCAAAGCGACATCCCAAATATTTTTTTTGGTGTTTTTGAGGATATCCGATTATTCGCAGAAACACTTATAGTCAGTTCTGTAGATGCTACGAAGTGTTATCACTGCTGTATTTTCCCATTTTTCTTAGTATGGTCTTCTTTCATTTTTTTAGTAGAACAGAATTTCATTTTAGTAGAACAAGCATAAAACTGCTCTGAAAGGTCGCTGTATTATGAAGAAAGTCCAAAAAAAGTCTCTTTGAATAATTTAATTGGAAAAGTTTGGAAGATTTATTTTGAAATGCTAAATCACTAGATTTGAAAAGTAGTTGAGTAAGTCAAAGGTTATTGTTGATAAAAAATTGAAAACAGTGCCGCCAGTTTTAGAATAAAAAGGATAAGAAGGAAAGGCGCTTAATCTTCATTCAACAAGTAACTGGATGAAAAAATACGTCATACAGTTAAGCTAAATTATTAAAAAGCGCTTTATTCAATAGCGCTGGTTGACAAGCAGAAATAGAGCTAATATATACATAGGAGTAGTTCGATTATATAGTGTGTTCGTGTCTTTGTAAATTTTTTTCCAAGTAAAGTGTATAATTTTGAAAGAGAAATTACAAATATCATTTGCTGTTACTATTATAAAACAGAATTTCATAGCAAAGGAACATGTGCTTGGCTTTTCGGCTTGGTTGGCTTCAATTTGCCTCATCATTTGTCAAAGAAACGTACACTTGGTTCTAATCTGGTCCATCGTTTGTCAAAGAAACGTACACTTGGTTCCAGTCTGGTCCATTTTTTGTATCTCATTGGTTCCATTAAAGGAGCTTCGATTTGTCCAATGCTTTTCGGTACAACCGATGTCCACAAAATTACTGTAAATGAATGAAATCATATTTTCAAAAAAATAATTTGCTGTGATTATCATAACTACCACTATGGAAATCTCATTAATTCTTCAAAAGATCAAATATTGTGGAGCTGCCTAATTTTTTCTTTACCAAAAATTAGAATCATAGAGTGCACTAAAACTTAGCGTCGAGAAAAAAGTCTTACCAAATGTGAGAAACAGCGAATATGCCACTTTCATGGCTAAAATCATACAAAACCTGAAATTCTCACACATCACGTCCTATTACGTAAAAAACAATGACTTTAATCGCTAGAAATATTTTTTACAGATGAGCTTAGTTGTAAAAAACAACATTAATCAAATAATCATTAATAGATGTACAGTGCCTTATCCCATCTGAAATGTTGTACATTTTGATCTGAACTACCTCTTCTGACCTGAACTGCAGCATATTTTCATATTTATAGTTGTCATCAAATATATTTTTAACAAATTATTATAAAATTATTATAAAATAGATTAGTAATGATACGGACGTTTGACCCTCATTCAAGCAATACGGTATTCAATTTATTATCGTTTTAGTAATCGAAAAGATAAAAAATCATTTGTTAATAGTGCAAAAAGCGATATTTAATTTATCATCAGTTTTGAATAGTCAAATGCCATCACTTGCCGAGAAGTATGAAATTGTTGAAAGATCTTTAGTTCTTAGATAACATTTTACTGATGTCAAATTTTGTTACTATCATTATCATTGTCATGTAGGAAAATACATTCTTGCTTTAAATTTCTTTTTTTTTTTGAAAATCATTGCAACAAAGCTTCTGGGTACAAACATTGTCTTATGAGGTTCATATAATAAAAGGCGATGCCATTCAGAAATAAAAAAATAAAGTCTAGGATTTAAATATGATATAAAACAATAATTAATTAAAATATTGCATCCTATCAACTAGAAAGAACCTTGTAAAACTTTCTTTGAAAGCATAATTTCCTCAAAAACTAGTGAAAACAAGATCCGTTTTACTTCTACAATCAGCACATAAGTTCCAAAGTTACTTAATTTGTGGAATAAATATCGCATAGCCAATTTTGGTGGTAATTGATGTAATTTAGAATTTTCACAAAAATTTCTATCATCTAACAAACAAAGACCTTCTACTCATACACAATGGAGATATTACAGTCGATTGTGAACCGTCAACTATTCCGAATCTTGAAAACGCAAACAGAAACTGCAACAGTCTCTGTTCTAGGCTTTCTATCATAAGACTTTCATTGTATTAAAAAGGTAAAACATAAAGAGCAATGATGATGTTCACGACGTAAAAATCAGCTTTCCGAATTGGTAAAGATTATTATAACAAGATTGCTGGTTTTGCACCAAATGGTATACTACGGAAGCATTACTTTTAAATCAAGTAGTGTTGATAATAAAATGCAAACTGTTGCTGTTTGCTCTATCAAATGCTAAACTTCAACAGCTAACTCTACAAAAAAAAAAAAAAAAAGAAAAGAAGAAATCATAAAATAGAAGTTTGAATTTTGTTACATTTGTTTAGAATTACAGAATTACAGTAAAAATTACAGTAAATTACAGTAAATATTGCAGTAAATAACAAATTAGGAATAACAAGAAAGTGTCTTTCCTGATCATGAATATCGATATTAACATTGGATATACTTAATATTTAAACTTCATTTTCCTGAAAAAAGATAACTTTCCACGAATTGCTAACGATTTTAAATAAAAAGATGGATGTTTCGGAAGCCAAAGGACAGTATGATATACGGCTAAAGCAATTGTTCCATTATTGATATCATCCATTAAATATATTAGAAAACTTGATTGACTGACAAACAACGTCACATAAATGTGTCGTCGAATGTTAACATTTTATAACAATAACAGAGAAGAGTTACGTTAATTCCGCTTTATCTCACATTTATCGCATAAATAGTTCACCTTATGCTGCCTTCTTGCTAATTTACTAAACGACTGCGACAGACAGACATCCTTTTTACAGCTGTAATGAACAAAAAGTTTTGCATCGTCGAATTTCCGTCATTAATTCATAAATTTGATGATATATTATAAAGATATAATATTTAAAGTAAAGGAAATGGTTTTGTTTGTGCCTGGGAAATACGGTACTTCTTACCTTATCATTGAATTACAAATATTAACATTTAAATAATCATTCAAAAACAAAGTCAAGAAAGTGATAAAACTAACACTTCAGGGATTCAAATTTTTGACAATTAACATAACTTTGAGTCAGTGATGGCGGGAAACCCTTAAGAAATGTTAGTTTTCATCACTGCCGATTATTTCCTAAAAACAGTCATCTTTATGCATAACTTTTCAGGCAAAGAAAGAGAGAAAGAGAAAAACCTGATTAGAATTGAGGGAAGAGCTGCGTATGTGGATCAATAATTTTGATTACAACTCTAATATATTCAGAAATAATTACAAACGGAAATAATGAGATGCCTCAGCATCAGCTTCCATTAATAGCTATCGTTGCGTTAGGTTGTTATTAATGAAATTCCATTCATAATTAAGACAAAGCGTAAAGATTAGTACCATTTTCAGTGGCGGGCGAAATAAATGATGTGCAAAATTGGCACCTAGACTTGATGATAAAATGCGGTACTTAAGTTCGTAAAATTTTCCGTGAATTTTAGGCAGTATATTTGTTTCAAATGATATCACAATTCTACTTTAGTTGCAAGAATAAAAGCTGAAAAAAAGAACAGTTATCTATACCAATTGGCGAAGTGATGAATATAATTTCCTGTATAGCACCACAATTTGTAAGACATTAAATCCCTTATCTGAATCAAAACGCATTCCCTTTCTGTTGAACCAAAACCTTTTAAAATTTCATAGTTTTGTTTCTTGGAAGCACAAAAAATTGAGTAGTGAGGCCATGATAAAAATGGTCATATGATTCAGAATAACAGAGTCTGATTCGGGAGCGGAAAAAATAAATATGGCATAAATTATTTTGCATTTGAAATACCATGAAATTGTAAATTGTATTTTCACTTAAATCGTTTATTGAAAATATCAATAAGATGAGTAAATGTTATTGTTAAATTACTTTATTGTCGAATTTGAACATCTAAGCAAATTGGATGGGACATCTCTTCTATAAGAGTTATCATTTCATGAAATAGTACTCCCTTCTCATTAAGAACTAAATACGTCAAGAGAGAAGAATGAAAAGTAAAGAAGTAATAATGTTTGAAATTTTGATGTTCATGAAAGACTACAATTGATTATAATTTATTAGGGTTAATGGATTGCTACTCGCAATATTTAAATGAAATCCCTCAAATAAGATCAACAAAAATGGCGGGCGAGTTCGAAAAAGAGAAAAACTGTCACTTTTGTTGTGAAGACTGTAGTGAAAAAGTTTGAAAAGATGTTTTCTCATTTTTGACTTTTTTCCCTGAAAATTTAATTTTGTTTAGCTTGCTGTTTTTTTAAAAGAATTTGTTTCTTATTATTTACACTCTGTTGCTGCAATAAGGCACAAACTTATGAGAATTATATGGGCTTTGAGGTAAGATTATCATTGATTTGTTAA